GCCACGGGCTTACTCTATTCAGGTTCCGGTTTCCACGTCTGCTCCTCAGAGACCGCCCCGTCCAGGATTAGCCCCTTAGCGCACTTCATGTTCATCATAGCACGTAGCCTGATATCATATTACATGCGTGTTTGTATGTTTCCTATCTGGCCCTACCACTGAAATGTAAGTGTCAGGAACACGTCCGTGTCGGTTCACTGTGGTGCCTTTGGTGCCTGCCCCATGGTGGGTATTAAATAATTGCCAATGAATCGCCACTCTGGGCCCTTGAAGGTCACAGTGGATGTGGGCACTGCTGCCACATGTTGCAGCCCTTTTCCCATTCTGAGTGCAGGGTGGGGTGCACTGCTCAGTGCCCCCCTTCACTCCCCCTCGCCCCCCATGTAGGTGGTGTAGCTAGGTCTGTTCGAAAGTGCATGGATCCTCCCGGCCTCCCCCTGCATGGTGACTGGCACATTAGATGTGGGGGCTGTCCCATCAGCCTGGGGCCCGCGGTGGCTCTGATGACCAGTCTCCCTGCCACAGGACAGAGGGCAGCGGAGCAGGGAGGTGGGTAGTTTATGGCTGCAGCGGAGCCTGGCCTGCCGGACAGCGGGACCCTCTGCAGAGACCAGAGCTGTGGGAGTCACTGGGAGGCCCCGAGCTGCTTCAGGAGTTTCAGGCTTCAAAGCCTCAAAGCCACACAGAGCCCCAAACTTCCCCTGCGGAGAGGCAGCCCGCTCTGCCCTTCCTCTCCCTTCCTGCCAGAGCAGGAGCGGGCGGGAAGCCTGGAAAGGCCTGTCCCCGGGGGAGCGGACGCGCTGGGACCTCCTCGGGAGTGACCGCACACACTGACCGCACACTCGGGCTGTCAGCGTCCTCCCCTCGGTCGGAAGTGGAGACATGAAGCGGACCGCTCTTCAGAGTCCCCGAGGGAAGTCCACGCCGGGCCCAGTGGCGCCGCTCACTGGGGAGCTCCGGCGGAGGGTCTGCCGGCCGCTGTCTGCCCTGCAGCCTGCGGGACAGGGGCCAACAGCGCTGGCTCCAAGCACCCACCTCACCCCGACCGCAGAGGAGGAGGAGGTCATACTTCCCTGGGAGCGAGGAATGAGCGTGCGTGCGTGCGTGTGTGTGTGTGTGTGTGTGTGTGTGTGTGTGTGTGGTGTGTGTGTGTGGTGTGTGTGTGTGGTGTGGTGTGTGTGTGTGGTATGTATGTAGGGGGTGGGGTGTGTGCATGTGTGGGGTGTGTGCGTGTGTGTGTGTGTGTGTGTGTGTGTGTGTGTGTGTCTGTGGTGTGGGGGTGTGTGTGGTGTGGTATATGGTGTGTGAATGGGGTGTGCAGGTGGTATGTATGGTATGAAGGGTGTGTGTGTGGTATGTGTGTGTGTGAGGGGGTGTATGTATGTGGGGGGTTTTGTGTGCTTGTGGGGGGTATGTGTGTATATGTGGTGTGTGTGTGGTATGTGTTTGGTGTGTGTGTGTGGTGTGTGCATGTGTGGTGTGTGTATGTGTGGTGTGGTGTGTGTGTGTGGTATGTATGTAGGGGGTGGGGTGTGTGCATGTGTGGGGTGTGTGCATGTGTGGGGTGTGTGTATATGTGTGTGTGTGTAATGTGTATGGGTGTGGTGTGTGTGTATGGTGTGTATATGGGGGGTGGAGTGTATGTGTGGTGTATGTGTGTATGTGTGGGGTGTGTATGGTGTGTGTGGTGTGTGTATGTGTGGTGTGTGGTATGTATATGGGGTGGGTGTATGTGTGTGGTGTGTGTGTGGTGTGTGTGTGTGGTATGTGTGTGGTATGTATGTAGGGGGTGGGGTGTGTGCATGTGTGGGGTGTGTGTATGTATGTGTGTGTGTGTGATGTGTATGTGTGTGGTGTGTGTGTATGGTGTGTATATGGGGGGTGGAGTGTATGTGTGGTGTATGTGTGGGGTGTGTGTGGTGTGTGTGTGGGGGGTGTGGGGGTGTGTATGTGTGTATGTGGTATGTATATGGGGGTGGGTGTATGTGTGTGGTGTGTGTGTGTACATGTGTGATGTGTGTGTGTCTGTGCTGTGGGAGGGAGGGGATGCCCCTCAGGGAAGAAGGGACGGGGCTGGAAAGATGGCATCAGAGGAGCAAGGCCCAGGCAGGGGGCCCCTGTCGAGTCGGGGGACTACCTCTCCAGCCCTCCATTTCTTGCTCAGGGAGAGGGACCTTAGATGAACTTGATGACCTTGGGGTTGGTTACATGAAGTCACATCACCTCCATTTCCATCTCTTTCCCATCGGAAGCCAGGGTCCGGGCTGGCCCGGCATGGTCTCCGCCCGCCCGCTGCTCCGCTGCCCCACCACCCCGCTGCCCCACCACCCCGCTGCCTGCAGCAGGAACACAGACGCCAGCATTTTTCCATTCAGCCAGGCGACTGGGACGGGTGTGCACCTGGTCATTCCAGACGGTCCCCGTCTCCAGGGCCGGAGGGGAGACCCATCCCAGGAACCTCCCTGCCGGGGCTGCCATGGGTGGGGTGGGAGGTGGAGGGCAGAGATGTGATTGTCAGCAGTTATTTCTCAAGTGACATTTCAAGACCGGCCTCCCAGGGCTGAGCTCTTTGCCAGGGCTCCTCCTCTTGCCACCCCGAGCTGGCTCCCTGAGCGCACAGTGGGTCCACACCCTGAACCTCATCCGCCCGCGGCCCTCCAGTCTGAGGAATGGCAGAGGACACAGGGTGGGAGCGGGCAGATGTGCACCTGCAATACAGGTTCCTGTGTCACCTGTCCTGTGGGGGGAAGAATGGAGGAGCCCATTCTCATCACCACCTTCCATCTGAAGCAGGGGGCCCTGGACCAGAGCACCCGCACCGCCTGGGAACTCATGAAAAATGCAAAATCTCAACCCCCTGCCCCAGACATGCTGACTCAGAAACGCTGTGTGGGGGAGTAATCTGGGAGTTAACGAGCCCTCCAGATGATTGCCATGCGAGCCAGAGTTTGAAAACCACTGATGTAGAGAAAGCCAGGTTCAGCCAGGGGAAAGGGGAGGTGGAAGAGGGGAGCAGGGGGGCTGGAGGCCCGCACTCCTGAATCTCAGCTCCTTCTCTTTATTTTTTAAAATATATTTATTTATTGATTTCAGAGAGGAAGGGAGAAGGAGAGGAAGATAGAAACATCAATGATGAGAGAGAATCACTGATTGGCTGCCTCATGCACGCCCCCCACTGGGGATTGAGCCTGCAACCCAGGCATGTGCCCCTGGCCGGAATCAAACCTGGGGCCCTTCAGTCCGCAGGCTGACGCTCTGTCCACTGAGCCAAGCCGGGTAGGGCTCTGCTCCTTCTCTTGGTGGCGCTGTGGCCTTGGCGGCTGTGGCCTTGGCTGCTGTGGGTCGTTCTCACTTACCCAGATACCACCTTCCGCTCCAGTCTCTGGTGAGACCCATGGACCCTGCAACAACATGTCCCCTGCTGCCAATGGGATCGTCCGGGCCATGAGGGAGAAGCCAGGGACCAAAGCAGGCTGGGAATTCCCGGGCCACCAGGCTCTGGGAAATGTTAGGAATTACCTAAGAATTACAGCCAGGGGAAACGAAAAGCAAGAGTGAAAACCCCCTCCCGGACGCTAGGGGGAGACCCATCTCTAGCCTGGGAAGAGGGGGAGGAGTCCAGGTCCAGGTTTTAGGCAATTCCCAAAGTTGTTTGCTGGTGACCTCTGATCAACCAACCAAACCGAACCCCAGCTTTCAGAAGAGGGGCGGTGATCACCGGTCCAAGCGGTGGAACTGACGAGGGCTGCAAACGTGTCTGCCCATCCCCTCATTCCCGACCCATTTAGAAAAAAAAGAGAGAGAGAGAGAGAGAGAGAGAGAGAGAGAGAGAGAGAGAAGCTGAAGAGGGCCAGGGTCATGCAGCGGGCCTGTCAGACACGGGTTCCGACAGACAGAAGTCCGGTTTCCTCACGCAGGAGAGGCGATGATCAAGATCCGCTCCATCCTCTGCGGGACCCAGTGCAGAGAGATGCTTGGCCCTTTGTTCAGAAAGCATGAAGACCCACGATCGATCATGACAGCAGAGCATTCAAGGGGGTGGGATTGGTGTGTCTGTCTTTGGGGCCCACAGGTGAGCGGTCCATAACACATGCTAAGGAGGGCTCTGGGGAGGTGGAGGGGGAAGAGAGAGAGAGAGCGAGAGAGAGAGGCTGGTATTTCCATAGCAATTACTAGAACAGCTATGGGAGGGAAGGGTTTGACTGTGAAGGACAAGCTCTCCCAACCCAAGGCCGCTGGAGCGTCCTCACCATCAGGGCCCACGATCCCCCCAAGCCCCATCTTCCCGGAAAGGAATGTCCTGCCGGGCAGGGCAGGGCAGCCCTCCGAGGGGAAATCCGGGGAAGTGGGAGCCGCACGCGCAGCCTGGCCGCCCGTGGGTGGCTGCCCGCTGTCAGCATCTGCAGCGCCGCCCGCGTCATGGGGCTCTGCATGGGGGCTCGGCTCCCAGGGGAGGGGAGCAAAGGGCACATCCCTCGGGTCCGCTGGGAACCAGGAGGGTAGCGGGCAGACCCCAGGCCTTGGACCTTTCCCTAGATCTTAAGCCCTTCCTCCCGCCCGCCCCCCACCTGGGCGTGCTGTGCTGCAAGTGGGTGGAGTGGGAGGTGGGGAGGGTCTGGGGTAGTGGGAGGTGATGGGGGAGGGTCAGGGGAGGGGCTGCAGGCAGATGGTCCCCAACGAGATGCCTCTTAGGAGCTGTTCCCCATAGAGCCTTTCCCATACGCCATCCTCCAGCGGCCCCAGCGGCCCAGTCCGCCTCCTGAGGACGCCCCGAAACCCACCCTGGTCCGTTCGCCCCCCAACGCCGAACCCGCCTCTCCGCGGGTCTGCGCTCTCCGGGGCTGTCCTTCCTGCCTCTCCCGCGTCTCCCCGCCCCCGCCCCGCCCCGCCCCGCCCCGCAGCCTGCGGCCCCTTTAAAGGCCGCCGGTCCGGGGCCGCCCCCTCTCGAGGCGAACTCGGGAGAAGCGCCGGCGCCGCGCCGCGTCGCGCTCCGGGCGGGCATGGTCATGGCGTCCCCGGCCATTGGGCAGCGCCCGTACCGGCTGCTCCTGGACCCAGAGCCGCCGCGCTACCTGCAGACCCTGAGCGGCCCGGAGCCGCCGCCGCAGCCGCCCGGTCGGGCCTCCCGCCGCTGCGCCCCGGTGCCCGTCTCCGCCGCGCCCGGGGCGCACGAGGGGCGCGGCGCCCGCAGGGCCCCCCGCGGGGACCCGGACCCCCCGCCGCGGGCCGCCCGCCCCGCTCGCCCTCTGCGGCCCGGGCTGCAGCAGAGGCTGCGGCGGCGGCCCGGAGCGCCCCGGCCGCGGGACGTGCGGAGCATCTTCGAGCCGCCGCAGGACCCCCGCGTCCCGGCCGAGCGCGGCGAGGGGCACCGCTTCACCGAGCTGGCTCTGCCGAGCGGCCGCGGCTGGTGCGACCTGTGCGGCCGGGAGGTGCTGCGGGAGGCGCTGCGCTGCGCCAGTGAGTGCGGGGCCCCGGGGCCGGGCGGGGCGGGAGAGACGGGGGGGGGGGGGCGGAGGGGGCGCGGGGAGACCGCAGTCCGTGGCGAGGGGTGGCTGGGGGCTGGGGCAGAGCGAGGGGGCATTGCCCGCTCTGGCTCCAGGGGAGACCTCGGCTGTAATGAAAGGAGATAAGCCCTGGACACTCTGCTCTCTAGTCCCCCGCCCCGTCCCCTTTAGTAACCGCCTATTGCCCAGCGATGGCTCTGCGGCATCCACAAATGCCTCTCCTGACGGGCACCTGCCCGGGCACACACGTGTGCGCGCTCAGGCGCGCGGGTGGGTGGATGGCCGCAGCCGCAAGGTCATGCCGTGGCACCCGCTTGGTTTTGTTGTGGGTTCTGAGGAGTGGGTGTGAGACTGGGCATGGAGATGGCCATGGGCCTGTGCTGATTAGGGCGCAGGGCAGAATGGTTGGCTTGTCCGTCTGTGGCACAGGCCAATGGTCTGCGCTCTTCCTCTCCTCCAGGTGTCCTGTTGGGAGAGGGAGAGGAGCTGGTTAGGCTTTGGCCAGCGCCAGCTGTGAGGCTGGAGAGAGCCTGAGGTCAACCTGGACCTGTGCCCCCTGCTGCCTTCTCTCTCTGGCCCCTCAAACCTTTGGACTCCGCTCTGATGTTTGGCTGTGCCCCGCCTCCGCCCCTTCCTCCTGTGATTGCTCTGAATGCGCTGGGCGTTATGCTCTAACTAATTACCAACTGGGGCCCCAGCCTCCCCAGAGCCCTCAGGTCCCTTCGGCCTCCCCCCGAGCCAGGCTCTCCTCCAACCAGATGGTAAAATGAGGGACACCCAGGTTTTCTGAGCCTCTTTGTATGCTTCTTGGGGTTTTATTTTCCTCTTCTTACAATTAGGTGTGTGTATTTCTTTAACGAGTGTCCTCTCCCCGCCCCAACCTCCATGTTTGCTGTGGCCCGTGTTTGGATACCTGTGTGTGTATGTGTTTAGATTCCTATTTCCCGTATCTGAGGCACAAAGCATAGGCAGTGGCACAGCTCTAGCAAGCACCTCTGGAAATGGGCTGTGCATATTATTCCAGCAGCTGGCCCTCCCTTCCCCCATGCTCTCTGACTGCCGCATTGGACAGCACCCGCCTCGTTCACATCAGGAAAAGCCCACTTTGTCTCTCTCTCTCTGCAGTCAGTCCACCACCCAGGCTGGGCAGGGTACCTCCCACTGCAGCTGGCTGCAGGCAAGGAGAGCTGACTCTACGCCAGGGTCAAGTGGAAAGGGGAGACTGGAGAGGGACAGGGGGCGTGGGGTATTCCTCCCTCCAACACCAGAACTCACAGCTCAGGTGCCAAGGAGCAAGAAAAGAGCGAGCGGTAGAGAGGTGTGCGTAATGGGCCCAAGGCTGCTGCCACTTGGTAAGGCCCTGACCTTGCAGTAGGATGGAGATGGATGCAACTCGCCCTCAGATGCGTTGGCAGCTCTGGCCTCTCAGGTTTTTTTTGTTTTGTTTTGTTTTGTTTTTTTTCCTGTTGTTCCCCAACCCCGTCAGCCCAGAGGCAGCGTCCTCCCTGGAATGGCTTTGCTTGTGTGGGAATCCCGGGGAATCCGCTTCATTGGAATTCTAGTTTTTATTTCGACATATGTATCTGTTGTTGAACATTTTGCATGTAGCTTTCTGATTTTTCGGGGATGGCGATAACAGTGTGTGTGTGTGTGTGTGTGTATGTGTGTGCGCATGGGTGCATATGCCTGCTACTCCACGGCTAGATGAATGCACGCTCGCGTTACGTTAGACTTGTTTATTTAATTAGTGCCTAAGTGGTTTCTGGGGGCAGGCAGACCGGGGGCAGGGACGTTTCCTTTGACGTTGTGTGACTTGGTGGCCCTCACGCAGGTTTCATAGCAACCAGGGGAGGCTGAGCACCAGAGGGAGCGCGGGCGGCGCTGGGACCAGGGGGCTGTGGAGAGGGGTCTCTGTCCGTCATTGTTAACGTGGACAAGCGGAGCCCCCCTGTGCACCTGTGGCTGGAGGGGACCAGTGAGGGCTGGCAGGTGGGGGCACAGCAGGCTGGGCCCCCCGAGGGCCTTCCTTTACGCTGAGAGTCTCCTTCCATGGAGGGTTTGGCTCGTTTTACCTTTAGTTTGACAGGGAAGGCTGGGAGAGATGACTTTCGAAAGCAGCACTATGAATAATTTAGAGGACAGCCTGGAACCAGAAGACGTGGGTGTGAATCTTGACTCGGCCCCCGAGTCTCGGTGGGAACCTGTATTTCACCTCCTAGCTTTAAAAAACCGGGACAATAACAGTCCTATGTTCGTGTGTTCATGTGAGAATGAAACGAATGAAGGCATGGAACATGCATGTGAACGCTCGGCGCCATGCGGATGTTGTTATTATGCCCCCCGTGCAGCTCGGGGACAACGCGTCTGGCGCGGGACACCCCTTAGGGTCACCTTTCCAAGCGCGGTGTAGTTTTCAGGCTCTGCGTGGCTGCAGAGCTCAGTGAGGAAGCGAGGGTCACGCGTGTCCCAGGAAGTGCAGGCATTCATGTCCTCTGGAAACGTCACTCCCAGTATGCCATGGCCCCTGGCTTTGTTTCCCTCGCCCCCCAGCACAGAGCACAGCTTTGGTGAGTAGTGGCTGATGGAGGCAGCAGCTTGTTGTGGCTGTGAAATCCCCCTGCTCTTGGGAATGAGCAGAAGGGCAGAGCGTACATGAAGGACACCTGCTTGCGCAGGCAGCTGACACGGGGTGGGAACCTTGTTGGCAAAATGGGCCTTTAACAAGGGCAGCTGCGAGGAAGCTGCCTGCCTGCCTGCCTTTCTGGTGAAAGTTCCCGCCTCGAGGTCTGTAACTGAGGTCTGGTTCACGCTGGGTTTGCCCGCAGGAACGTTCAGGGTTAATGTTCATTTCTAGGATTGAAGGAATCATGTTGGTTAGGTAGGAAAGGGAATCTAGTGAGGATTGGTGAGGAGAGGGAGGTAGAGAGGAGAAGAGAGAGGAGAATGGTGTGACCAAGTGTGTTTTGGGGCAGGGCCCTGATGGCAGAGAGAATATCCATTTCCAGCGCTCCAGGTGGGAGCGGTCAGCAGCCAACAACCCCCTGCCCTTTGACTGACTTCTCAGGGAAGGTTCCTTACAGGTCATGGTCCCTTTCCTCGGTAAAAGGCACATAGCAGTGACCTTTGACCTCCCATCTTCTTTTGGTCGATATGTAAGCCTCCAGGGAATGGTCTAGAAAGTGGGGAAACCTAAGACAAACTCAGCATCCCAGGAGGGCTGGTTGGACACACCTAGCGTGCTGCCAGGGAGTGCCACGTGCCCGCTGCCAGAGCCGGTCTCTCTGGGAGGGCGTTGGTCGGAGCTGGGGTGTGCTAAGTGATGGAATTACAGGGTTGCCAGTGGGGGGGAAGAGGGGGCGTGTGGCTCATCAGCTAACCGCCTCTTCCTGTAATAGATGCTAATTATGGTGTGAGTCCGAGGCCTTTGCATGGCCTTCAGGGATGGGGACCTTCGTGGGGAGGGAGGCTGGCATCGCCCAGGGCCCCTTGTCTGGCTGCATTGTCTTGTCACCGCATTTTAATGGGTGGGCTTCACCCTTCGCTCCGCACACGCTGAAACCACGCGTGAGGCAGCCAGGGGCCCTGCAGGCCTGTGCCTTGTGGTGGGTTCTCTGTGGGAGAGATGACAGGGACACGGGCTTGGAGTATCCCTGGAGGCCACGTGGGCAGCGAGCGTGGTGCTTGTCCAGCGCCCCCAGCAGCACCGAGGTGTGTGGGTGAAGCGCTGTCAGTGGGTTCGTGCCTGCCTTGGAGGTTAGGGGAGTTAAGCACCAAGCACCATGCTGTTAAAGCCTGAGGAACCCCCCGCCCCCCACATCCAGCCCCTCCCCTGCTCCTGGCTCCTAGTGAGGTCTTCTTGGGAAAGGCCCTCATGGAGTGTGGGGGAGCTGGATGTGGGGGGACAGGGAAGGGGTCTGGGGTGCTTTGAAAGCGGCCTTCTGAGCTCCCCACGCCGTCACTGTTTCCTCTGCCCCTGCTTCCTGTCTTCTCAGAAGATGAGCGTGAAAGGAGAAAATGTGGGCTTAATTCCACCACTCCCCGCCCCCATTCATCAGAGCATGAAATTCCCTGATTAGGGAGGGAGAGGGGCTGGAGTCCCAGGTACAGTCACAAATGATTAATGCCCCTTGTCCGCCAGCCTCATTGGAATTGGTAATGAGCGAGTGTGTTTGCCTGCTGATCCTGCGGGTTATGAGGTGGACGTGAACTGACACCTCCCCGCAGAGCGGAGGGTTTGATCTGGGACCCTCTCTCCTCTCCCCAAGTTCGCCAGTGAACCCGCTGATGCCAGGCCTGCCTGCTAGGCCCTGAGTGACAGACAGAGGAAGGACCGCCCAGCCCGGCCCCAAGGGCCCTGGCTGGCGGAGGGACTCGCCTTCGCTAGGAGGAGCAGGGGCCGGCGGCTCAGGAGGGCGTCTGAGGCTCAGGCAGGCCCGGGCCCGCTGGGAGGATGATGGAGAACGCCTCTGCAGAGCCCGGGGTTTTCATGCTCCCTGCCACGCTCGGCCTCTGAGCAGCTTCATGAGGTCAGAACTTGGGGAGGCCTCTGCCGGGGTCTCAGGCGGGCAGGAGTCGCCAGTGCACCAGGCTGGGGGCAGATAAGGTTAGGCCAGTGGTCAGCAAACTCATTAGTCAACAGATTGACATTTCTTTGGAGAGCCAAATTTTTTAAACTTAAACTTCTTCTAATGCCACCTCTTCAAAATAGACTCGCCCAGGCCGTGGTCTTTTGTGGAAGGGCCACACATAAGGGGCCAAAGAGTTGCATGTGGCTCCTGAGCCGCAGTTTGTCGACCACGGGGTTAGGCGAACCAGACTGGCTTTGGAGGCCTCGGGCATCTCCGGCTGTCCAGCCATTTCCCTCCTTCGGCCCGTGCTCAGCACCTCTATGTCGGAGACATCCCCTGACTGGCTACCCACACCCACTCCTCATTCCTCAGTTTCCCCATCAGA